GAGAATTCAGATGCACGATGAAAACTCTGCTTGCATGTGAAACTTAAATTCTATCTACTGGCATATTTGAGTCCAAATTCATATCGCAGATCCACGGATGAAGAGCAAAATCAACGGTTGCTCTAACTACATGTACTTACTTTTCTCTTCTTGTACAATTTTCTCTATCAAATCTATTGTACAATTAGGCATGAACCAAGTACAAGTACATGCCAACACTATTGCACACGATATACCCGCACTACTGTACATGTAAGCAAACAGTGTTCTTTTTTGCAGAAACAGAACACAGAGAACACACACAAACACACAAGAGCAACTGATGTTCAGTTTAAATCATAACCAAAATGAACAAAACTTACACAGGCTAGTCAATCACTCACAGGGTATTTCAGACCACTTCTGGTTAAGTGGGCATTGGTTTCTATTTCTTCAAACAAAATCTTCAACAGACAATGCAGGAGTCTTTTCAGTTTTCTTTTCTGACTACTGTAGTTTATGTTATTAAATCTTCTAGTTCTTACAATAGATGTGTGTAAACGTGCATTCCTGGGATTTTTCATTTCTCTATCTGAACATTTCCTGACTGTCTTCTCTTCTTTGATTTGTTAAAGCTTCTAAGTTCCATGTCTATAGCCACTGCAGGTAATTTTGAGCGAGATTTTTCTGCACCCCTTTCAATACTCGCCAAAATCACCAAATTGCAAGCAGGTTACATCAAAGAGCAAGGCAATTTTCGTTCTTGAATTGAACTGACTACAGACCCGTGCTTGAGCTGAATCTTAGGTTTTGACTGGGAGACTCAAACCAAAAAGTGATGGATTGGTTTTGGAAATGCAAAAAGATTGCTTTAGATAGTTGGTAAATCTAAACACTGTAAATCTTTGCTCAGTTTTTAAAGTTCCTATGGTGGAAAAATTCTGGTCATGTAGTTTACTGGTCTTAAGTTGATGTCAAAGTATTGCATACATGGAAATTCCGTAAATAGTATCAGAATGAAAGCAAATGTAAGAATCCTGATGTGGTTTCTTTCTTTTTAAAATGGAAAAAAATTATCAGAATCTGTGTTGCTTTCCCCAATTTTAAGGCAGAAAAAAGTATTTTGTTTTGTGTTTATTCAAAATTAAAGCTTTACAAAAGTCAAGATGACAGAAGTCTAGAATTTAGAATGTCATATAGAATTAAAATGTACTTGTACACTGTACATTCACATGTCCAACTATCTGATCCATTTGGGACCAGTTTTCTTGATTTGTGACTGAAGTGACAATGATGATCAGGGCTTTTTCTTTTTCTTTTCTTTTTTTTTTTTTGGGTACAACTTTCTCTGAAAACTCCCGATGGCCTGGATGTTCTGGGCTGGTAGAGTTTATGTCAATGTGTGTGAAATGCTGTGTGTCACTTCCAGCCAACATGTCTTTTCCACATGAGCGTCAAGTCTGTTGGTAAGCCGCATGCACATCCTCTATAATCACCGGTTTCCTGCCTCTGAGGACATGTGCACAGATGTACATGTACTGGTCCAAGCTGTCTTCTGAGAATATTCCACAATTTTCGGTAAATCCAAATGTTCAAACTTTTCAGAACCCAAATGGGGAAATAGTCGCTTTATTTAACCAAACAATTTTTAAATAAAGGAAGAAAACAAAGGATAGAAAAATTCCAGACAAATGGTCCATTGGTATGCTCAGACACACCACTTCTATCAATTTCTAAAAACTTTTTTTGAAAGAACAGTGTTACTCCAGGATTATTTTTACAATGTACTCCAAGAGAGGTTTTAAAAATGACAGAAATTTCAGAATGACAGAAACAATTCTGACTTTCTTCTGACCTATGAGTTTGGATACTTTCCCATCCGGATTTCTGACTATTCTGCAGAATGAGTCACCCTCTGAGATAGTTGGGCACTTCTGAAATCAACACTGACAGTCAACCACCAATACATGTTATTGTATCATGTATTACTGGGATGATATTTACACAAATTCATTTAAGGGCCCACATAATTTGATTTGAATTCTGATTGGTAGCACGTTAACGAACAAAACTGAGTGAAGAACGTTTAAAACTATTCCATGTGTGTAATTGGCTTTGAACACTTTCTTCCTTTGCCCTTTTTCATTTCTCTGAATTTCCCACTTTAACTTCGGAAAATCTACATTTCACCAATTCAAAAAAATCCCATCCAATTTACAAAAAAAATCAAGTTCCCAAAATGGGTCATTATGAGCATTCCCAACTGCTTGTTTCCTTGTCTCAAGAACGTTTTTGATTAGTCTTTATGGAACTCAGCAACAAACTGGTGTACATGTACATTGTATTGCATAAATGTCCGCTACATGTACATGTAGGCCTACTTCATTTGTTTCCCCAAACGCATATAGGAAATACTTGCAGAACACTAACCACAGGTACCTGTACGTGTAAATGCCACATACATTTTCAAATGTCTATCAAAACTATCAATTTCACATTAAACTAGTGGCATGCTAGTGGCAAATATGTTTTGTAAGAACAGCCTAACATTTTGAAAGGTCTGTTTTCAAAGAACAAGTTTGAATAGGGTATGTTCTTCACAACGTCAAATGTTTAATACAAGTGTACTGTGGAAAAACTGTGGCTTCCAAACGATCCAATGACTGCATGAAACAGCATTTCGAGAGGTGTCCATGTAGGCTAAATGTGTACTTGTACCAGAAACGCAGCAAAATGTACAAACACATTTGAAAGCAATATGTTTTTTCAAAAACTTTGCAGAGAAGAAATTATGAACTGGATGATGTACATTCAAGATGTACATACGTAGAAGGTTAAAATGTACATAAGATGTCTGCTCCATGCAATCAATGGCTTCTGTTTTCAAAGATTGGCCATTTCAATCGCCAGCTAGCAGCCTGTGTTTTGGAGTAAAGAGGTTGCCCTGAAATTGAGCTGTGAGTGGAAGCTTTGAATATGGAGGGGAAATTGCCAAAATGGGGATAACTCATTCACGATGGCAGACCAGGGTAAAAATTTTCCAAGTCATGCCTCCGCAGGGGATTTCAGCGGTGACTTAAATAAAACTGTGACACATGTATGTACAGTAGTTTTGGCCAAAGTTTTGGAGGAAACATGCACTTGAACTGGGAAATTACATCATCTTCTTTTTTATTACTTAAATTTATACTTTTATGTAAATGCTTTATGTTTATTGGGGGGGGCAATATACAGTCAATCAAGCAACCTTCACATCAAACACAAATGTAGGCCATACAAGCTATTAATGTAGTTTTTAACATTCAGAGCAAACTGTTTCAATGTAACCCTGTGTGGGTACATGTACATGTATTTGACATCTACACAGCATGCTGTAGGGCACACACATGTAAAGTACATGTAAATACACATGTTCATAGGAACATGTACATGTAGATTCCTAGGTTCAGACCTCAGTATCATTGTAACATGTTTTGCTCTCAACTGCTCAAATAAGCATGCACCGGTACGATCAGCCACCCCAACTCTACGAACAAGAGGACAGCAAGAAAACTAATTTCTGGAAAGTGGTCTGCAAGAGAACTGATACTAGGGCTGCATGGACATTGCAAGGATTTTTTTCCAGGGGGGGGGGGAGTGAAGGGAAGGTGAATAGAAATGCTTCCGGGGGGAGCAAAGGAAGTAAAGCATTCATCATTAGCAAACTTCTTAACCATCAATGCTGGAAGGGAGTCAGGTAAGAGGTATTTTTCAACCAGAAATTGGTGATATTCATTCATTTTCTTCCTTTTACAGTTTCTCTTGCTTCTTTTCTTTTTTTCCCCCTAATTTTTGTAACTACACATATTTTCTCTTTTTGGGGGCGGGGGGGAGGCAAGCATTCCCTTCCCCCCATAACACTCATACATGTATGGACTGCACTGTTCTGCATGCAGTTCATGTACATGTGCACGTATATTCAAGAATTCAGGATGAAACACAGAGTGTCAATCAAATGTGCAGAGAATGCACATGTAGGCACATTCAATGTACACCATTGTACACTACTTGAGCATGTACTAGCACCTGTTCACACACTCCCGCACTGTACAAGTAGTTTGGGGGACATTCTCTCGATAATTCACCTACATGTACATGTATTTTGTGGGGACCACAAATGTTGTGGGGACTCAGAAATGTCCCCACAACTCGATTCAAATTTCCCTAACAAAAGAACGTGTCCCCTGAACGCGGTGAGTGCCTACCAACAAGTAAAACTTTGTGTATTTTTAAGTAAAATACACAGGTACATGTGTAAGTACTCAGCCCAGTCGGGACATGCTGGTTTGCACTTTTGGTGGGAAAACAACCATCAACACATTATTAAAGGCCGGTAACCTTTTTTTTTAGGAAATTAAGGACGAAGTCGTAGGTCCCAAAACATTTTTGGTTCCCACAAAACAGGTGGTAAAAAAGGAGTGTATGTTCCCACAATACGGGTGATTCACAATAGTGCGCCTCCAAGTGTTTGCAATGGAGTGGCCAATCACAGTATGTGAAACTGTTGACCCTTTCCAAACGTGCAATGGGTCAACAGATTTCGTGCACTGTGATTGGCCAACGCGCTGTAAACTTTGGGAGGCGCACGACTGTGAAACGCCTGTATTATGGTGCAAGAACTGCATGGTGTAGCCATGCACAGCAGAAAACGACATGTAATGTATGGTACTTGTTCATGCACAAGTACAAGTAGAGGTGTAGACAAATCCGATGAGACACCATTCAGAGGGGCCATTTACCAGTGTTGTAATGAGTCACTAAATTTTGTGACTCAAGTTGAGTCGAGTCATTTAACATTGTGACTCGAGTCAAGTCATTTGGTCAAGAAGTCGAGTTGAATCACTTTGTGTAGTTGAGTCGAGTCAAGTACTGAGCTCAAGTCAATCATACATGTAGTGAAAAATGTTTGAACAAAATACAATAAAATCATAACCAGATGTACATGTACGTCCTTTTTGGTATTTTTATATTCATTTAGACATACTGAAAATACATGTATATTATGGTGACAGGTGTCTAGCCAACTAAAATTTTGCTTTTAATTTTTTGAGACTTGAGACTTATACGCTTGTACTCGATTTAAGTCTCGATGAGAGATTCGAGTCCAGTCATTTGGTTGCAGCGTCACCCATCGGCACTTGAGTTGAGTTAAGTTGCCAAAAATTGTGACTTGAATTAGACACAAGTTGAGTCAATGACTCAAATCATTACAACTCAGCCATTTACACTCACGCAACTGTCTCATGCTGAGCGAACACACGCACTTTGGCAACTGACTACTGCCTATTGGTCAAGGAGGAATTTCACACGCGTGCACCACCTGTGTGCGAACAGGATGGCCCCGTAGTAATCAGGTAATGGCTTCTAATTTTGGTCATTGGATTTGTCTACAGATTTGCACACCTTGCTACCGGGTAGAATGTCATACATGTGACTCCTGCACTGTTCACATACAGTCAGATCTTATTAAGAGGAGGTCCTTCAGACTTGGCAAATCACCTCATTATAACAGGAACCTTATCAGGAACGAGAACAATGAAAAACAAAGGACTGGGACCTATTAAGTTCCATGTTATAAGCAGAATCATGTATTAATGCTGCTATTATCAGCGAGGTTCAACTGTACCAGTACACTGTACATGTACATATATACCCAAGTACAAACATGTACTGCAGTATGGTACATCCACATTATTTACCCTACACATGTACAGTACATGCTTTACTGGGGACGCTTCACTGTCCTCATTGGTCAGTCTACTGTCCAAGGTGGTAGGTCAAAGTGCCTGTGCTCAATTTATAAGAGCATGTAGGAACAATGTTGGAACACTGTGCCATCTCTACTGGTTTAGCCAAATGGGAGCAGGAAGCAACACTTCTATGTAATATCAAATTTGGAAATAACAAACATGTTGGCTGCATTAAGCCTTGTGTGGCAGCAGTCAACTGAACGTGTACAGATACATGCACAAGCACACCTGCTGATGTTTCCTTTCTTTGGTTTAAAGTGTAACATGTCATCTATCAGCAATCAATCAGCCATCTAATTAGCAGCATTCATGTGATTCCATTCTGATATATCTAAGTCAGAGACGTAGCTTACAAATTACATAAATTTCCCTTCTTGTTCACTGATTAGGATTTGCACACCCACTGCATGGGCATATTAGCACATGTTCATACCAAATGTTGGCAGCAAGCATACTATGTATTTAATTTACATTGTATATACAGCTGAGTGTGGACTTCAAACTGTCTTGATGAATAAAAAATGTAGACTTTTTGCTTCACAGTTACTTCTACATGTACTTGTAAACAGTAAAATATATCCCAAGTTATTTGATGAATATTTTTCTTCCAATGGATGCAATTTGGTTCAACTTCAAAATTGACTTCCTCGGCCAGAGGGGCTCTTGCTATGCAAACCCCTGGCTATATGGGAGGTAAACTCATACCTATCTTGGCACTGGAAGGCGCAGATGTTACATTGTAGAGGGTTACGGAGATCATGACAGCCCATGTGGATGGCGTACATGATGTTATCGGGGAAGATGATGTGACAGTACTCACACCGCCAGACATCGTCTTGTGTGCTGTTGTCGCGGCAGATGACCGGGGTGGGCTGGCTTCCCCACACCCCCGCCATCAGCTCTGAGGACGGCTGCGATTCTAGACTGGAGGATCCAGTATGACTGAGGCACCTGCGTTTGTGGGGCGAGTCCTCCGGCCGGCCGTGCATGGCCCCAATCATCAACAAGGGTGTGCCCTGGGGGCTGGGTGTGCGGCTCGACCGCTGCGGGGAGACGGCAGTCCCCTTGGGGAGGAGAAAGCCCGGCGACTCAAAACTGGATGAGCTCTTGCCCGACTCGTAAGATTCGTAGGATTTGGGCGCAGACCCTGACGTGGATCTGCTCTCTCGGAGAGGGGAGCGTCTGGTGACGGGCTCCTTGCCGTTCTGGTGAAGCGAAACTATATGTGAGATGACTGGGAGGCTTGCGGAGCCTCCCCTTCCTTGTGGTATACACTGCCTCTGACTAGGACTGTTGTCATCTCTGGAAGGCGAGTGTTCGTAGCTCTCCTCCCTTCGTTGGTGGTTGGGTGACACGGTTATCGTGGGAACCTTTACCAAGGAGAGTGGCACAGATCCCGTGCTGGGACCCTCTGCTGAGATGCTGGGCATGCTTGCCAGTCCGGAGGGGGGCAAAGATCGCCCCGATTGCACTGATTCAAAGCTAGTCTCTCTCTCCAGGGAAGACGCACTCTCCATGGAGCTGGCAGAAGCTGACGATCCACCCATCTGCAGCCGCCGCTGGACGTGTATCTGCGGGACACGCACGGAAGCCGTGATCATGTCACGATGTCGCTGGCTCTGCAGGTGGTTGGTGTAATCCTCTGCATTGGAACACTCATACTTGCAGGTTGGACAAGTAAAGGAGCTAGGCTCAGAAGTAGGTGGGCAAGACACAGTGGCATGTTTCATCTTCTTGTGGTTCTCGTAGGCGAGCAGTGACGGGAAGCCATAGTCACACTGTTCACAACGATGGACAGTCTGGTGGCTCTTTAGGTGGGTCAGCACCCTCTTTTGGCTGGGAAATGAGTTACCACAGATCGGGCATTTGTACACATAGTGCTTGCTCTGGCCCGGATCGTGTCGCGTCCTCATGTGAAGCTGCAGATGGTCCTTTCGCGATGACCGGTACTCACAGAATGGGCACTGGAACGGACGGTGGCCGCTGTGGAGGTTCATATGCCGGCGCAGGCTCTGCTTCTTGGAGAAAGTGCGCTTGCACAAACGGCAGATGAAATCCCTGAACTCCCTGTCTTGGCTCTGCTCCTCATTGCCGGCAAACTCTGTCTCAGTGCTGCTGGTGAAGCCATAGCCAGAGCCGGCCGAGTCCTCCCTTTGTACCTGAGAAGCATAGGCCAGGTGACCCTCCCGCTGGAGGGGGCTACCTGCCTGTGCCTGTATGCTGAGTTGTCCATCATCACAACCTAGGCTGATGTCACCTTGGTCATCACTCATGGGGGGTGACTCGTCTCCGTTGACACCCAACTCATCTTCCCTTTCAGGGTCTGAAATTTGATTTTGAAAACTTATTACACTGCTACCCATGAAACAACAAGATAAACTTAGGCCACTGGTATGTGGGTAATTCCAGACATTAGGGGTCCAAAAGTGTCACATTTTCGTGTCCCTGTTACATCTGACCTTTGTTACTTGACATGGAAATATCACCAGGATTGATTCAAACTTTTACTCTTTGTTTGGCAGCTAATTTGCATTAATTTATCACTCTTGGATATTAGAAAATGTGTTCTGAACTTACAAAATGTTATGTCAGATCTAACAGGGACACGAAAAAAATGGACCCCTAATTTCTGGAATAACCCATGTACAGATTGACTCTGAATTACTAGAACCCAAAAATGCTCAAATTTATTTATTTTACTTTTTTTAAACTGAAAATAATTTATATACATGTAGCTTTTGATCTTTCAATAATCCTCTTTCAGCTCTTCCAAGAATTTTAGATTTTGAGAATCTGTTGAGCAAAACTAAAGATACACCTGTATGTAAGAGGAGGCATTTTTATACTTTGTGCAAAGTGTAAAATAAAACAGCAACTTGCTTCAGTTGCAAGGAATTCCAAGTAAACTGAATCTTTCCTTCTGGTTTGCACCAATTACATTTCAAGAAAGTATCATGCGCACTTACAGAGCAAGGTGTTTTCAAACATTTCTCTAAATTAAAATTGATATTTTTGGGACAACTGTAGATAAACCCGAAAGACAAATAAAGTTCTCACTTTTATGAGCATCAAATGTTCTGGATGCAAACCAACAGATCTACATGTACAATGAGGACATTGCTTACATATTACAAACCCAGCACTGGGAACAAAATGGAAATTTCAAACGTGGTTCACAAGAACAACCCTGAAGAATAAATCACAGAAAGTCTGTAAAAGCAGGTTTTTTCAGCCGACCACATTATGACATACATGTACATTGTACATATGACATGAGTTTGTCGAGTGCTGCTGTGAAGTCCATTTCCCTGTTCCACACAGTGCTCTTACACAAATACACTGTACGAGTGGTACAGTGGAAATTAAGTCTGAGGAACTAGACTGTGTGGTTTGAGTATTTTTAATTTGATTATGGGTAGAAAGATGAGACTTTAGATAAAAAAGGGCCCCAAACTTTCTGGAAATTTTGGCAATTTTACAGAGAAAGGATTGGGAATTTTCATTTGTTTGAAAATGTCTGTTTTGTGGCATTAGAAACTATTTCTGCAATAAAAACAGTATTGTACATATGAATACATTGTACAAGTATACAGAGGCATGAACATCATACAAAACAGCTGAGATCTACACTGTACATGAACATGTTCATGTAGTTTCGTAAAATTTTCAGAATGAAACCTAAAAGGGCATTTTGAAAACCTCTGACAGATGTGATCTCAGGCAAAGCATGTTTTTGACAGACAAACTGAATGTTTGGAAACCTCCTAAGTTTCTGCCATACAGGTATTTCTGAAAATTATAATAATATATCCCCACAAAATGTCTCAAATTCTATGTTCAAAAGTTCTTGGAACTGCGCAGCACTTCTCAGTGTACATGTGCAGTATTAAAAAAAATCAGTTTGAGTCTGAGTTTGAGTTCTTTTGCAAACATTCATTTTGAGCATTTTCTACAAAATCCTGTATCCTCTACAAGTACATTCAAAGATGCTCATTCGATACAGTCTTTGATACAGTATTTCAGCCTGATAACTACCATGTACAATCTTAGATAAATCTGAGGGTCAGATAGAGATTCGACTGAACTGCTGGTTTGAACGGCACGGTTGACTTAGAGTCAAATTTGATGTTAACAGTACCTGCTGGCCTAGGGGCATTCCCAGCAGCCATGTTATAATGAACTTTACCAGTTTTACAGAGCACTGAAGAGTTATAAAATCAAGTCAGAGGACACTATTGTCTCTCTGGTGCTTTCACTAGTGGCCAACATGTTACCATGTTGATTTGCTAGAGGCAAAGCATATATATACAGACACTGGTTTGTATGAGCAGGTTTCAACCTGATTGCGAATGTACATTGTACATGTACATGATACCCACGTACAGTAGCAAAGTAAGCTGTGTACAGAACTCAATGCATTAGCACAGCACTAGATGTACAATGTACATACATGTACATGTACCTGTACATGGACGTGTGTGAATGAATCCAGTAAGCAGATGTTGAATGTAATGTGCCTCAATTTCTAGTGTCTAGCCATGTTATCAATGTATTCCTGATATTGTCATGGGACATCCACAGGAATGCACCTGGGATATATCTACACGTACCTTGAGTACCATCAAATACTCTTATGAGAATCCAGCACAGTGGGTTACCAGAAGATTTCACATACACGTACAGGGCAGTTTTCAGGCCATTTGTCTTCTCACAACATGTACATGTACTTTAGTTAGCAATTTGTTAGACACCAGCAAACTAGGCTCTGTTTTCGTGTACATGAATCACACCATTTTGCATCCTAATGAAAACGGACATTATAATGGGAGAAAAAATGTTCAGGATTCGTGCTGATTTACATTGTGCACGATTCTCTTCACGGCCTCTAACTGTAAAGCAAATGTGGTGACTTCTGACTTTCTTTAGGTTGGGTCACACACATGTATACATGGGATATCCTGAGTACTGTTACACACTTCCTGATCTATGCCCTACCTGGGATGTCCTAGGTACAGGTACATGTAGCTTCAGACGCTTTCAGAAGCCCCGCCCAGGATATCTGGGGGAATGTCACAAACCTTTTGCACCCTTTCCAGGATATCTGGGGAACGTCACTCACCTTTCGAATGCCACCCATAATATTTGGGAATGGCATTTCTCTTCAGAGCCCCTATTCACGTTAGCCAGGGGAACATAACACGCTTTCAGAATCCCTCCCGTGATATCCAGGGAACATCATGCACTTTCAGTACCCCTTGCAAATTATCTGGGGAATATCACACACCTTTACACTCACATGGACAATATCAGGGTGAATAACACACCCCTTGAGAACACCTCCAAAGCTACCAAGGGAATGTAACACACTTGCAGAATCCAAACCTAAAAAAGTCCCAAGTAATGTCTTACACCCTCATAACCCCTCTCACGATTTCCGGGCAAAGTCAAACCCTTTCAGAATCCAAACCTAGGGTGTCCATGCAATGTCACACACCTTCAGAATCTACATCTACTACAGTATGTTCTACGCAAAGTCACACACCTTTAGAATCCCCACCAAGAATGTCCCAAGTACATGTAATGTCACACCCTCATACCCTTACCTGCAGTAGGACGTCCCAAGTAATGTCACACACCCTCATATCTCTTACCTGCAGTAGGACGTCCCACGTAATGATACACACCCTCATATCACTTACCTGGGTAATGTCACATCCCCCGTTATCCCTAACTAGGATGTCCCAAGTAACGTCACACACCCTCATGACCCAATATATATCAATTAACTACATGTAGTGTTACAGATATGCATGTACACCTTCACATTCTCCATTCACTTGCAGGATGTCCCAAGTCACACGTATATGTATAAAGGTACA